GAGACGAATATTTATTGCCGAAAACGTTTCTCATTTTATTCAACTAATAAAAATTATCATAAATGAATGGTTGATTTATCTAAATGAAAGTCATAGGTCAGGCTGAAGCGGAATTTACGAAATTAATCTCGCATAACCAGTGTTCTAGCAAATAATTCGCAACCGAAGACGTAGACCTAGAGCAGATAAGCATACATCCATTGCACTAGGAATTGCCTACTGTTTGCCTACCAAATCTACTTTGATTGGCGCTACTGACTTGTCGTTTTTTGAAGAGCGAAGTTGAAGAGTCATCTGACATCGATTAGGTTTGATCACAGGACGTTTAGCAAGCGAAATTGTTTGGCTATAAGTATCTGCATATTTATTTTGATTTTTGATTGATTGATTCCTATTGATTTTTTCGATGTTAAGGCTTTTAGGCCTTTAAATTTCTATGCCTTAGGCCTAGCAGATAAGAGGAGTTATTTAACGGTTATTAGAGATAACAGATGGTCGATGTGATAAACTGTGGCTAATGATTGAAGAATACATAGCGATTGTCTGACACTTCTTTATTGTCTTAAATATACATATGGTATTGTAGCTTTATGAAAAAAAAGCAAAATTATTTTTTAAAATAAGATTATATTTTTTTTAGATTAAAATGACCTAAAAAAAGGCAAGTTGACTTATTTACTTATCTATTTCACTTGACCTTTTAACCTTTAAATATTAAATATTTTTTGAGTTATTCCAGCTGGATGATAATTACTAGACGAAGTTAATGAATAGAGGAGGAGGAAAGATCAAGCGAGCGGCTCGTTTTGTATTCCTAAAAGGAATAATTAATTGGATAAAGGTCGAAATATGGCAAACAACTAAGCGCATCCGATTAATTATTCATAATGAATAATTATTTGCATGAAAAAGTATATTTAATTCGACATAGTCAGAATCAGTTGACCGAGTTAGGTCAGTTTGGGTCAAATGAATAAATCGACCGGATCGACTAGGTGAAACGAATGAAATGAATTGACCGGGTCAATCTACAAAAAAATTCTATTATAATTTTAATTTAAAAGATTATTTTGATTTGGATATTTTTAATTCTTCGATGATCCATTGCTTGGTGCCCTTAGGCAATTTTCTAATATTTTAAAAATATTTGACCTTTTAAAAATTTTCGAATTAAGAAATTAAAAATTATTATCGAGGCTAAATGCGTATTGGTATAAAAAAAATTTTTCGTTTATTTCAAAATTCTTTATTTACCATTTTACACTTCAAGAGAAAGGAGAAATTGGTGATTTTTGGTGAAATGAAATGAAATTTTGGTGACTATTTGGTGATTTAGAAAAACAAAGAACCTAATTTACCTACAAATAAATTCAGGTTATTTGTGTCATAAATATTTGTGCCATAAAAAGCAAAGAGCCGTCCTAGTCGTCTATCGTTTGTCATTTATTGTATTCAACTCACTCAGCATTGAATTCTATAAAATCAGTGAAGCGCATACTTGATGAATTCAATTAATTTCGGAATTAGTTTTTGATGAAATCCACCATAAAAAATGATCTGAAACCCGTAAAAATATAGAAAGCCCACTGATCATTAAAAGATTTTTTTTTACAACAAAAATTGCTCAAAAATATAGAGTGAATTTACACAAATGAATCTAAAATATTTAAAGAATTTTTTTTGGAAATGGCAATTAAAGTTTATTTTAAATTTACTTGAAAATTAAATTATTGTTTAATTTATGTAAAATTATTGTTTTAATTAAAAATCACTTTAACAGTTTAGAGATTTTTTTAAAATTTTACTGCAAATAGAAGTAAGAATTAGTCTTCTTCTTGTTCCACTCTGGTTTCATTTCTGGTGCCATCGACAACCATTTCTGGTTTGGCTAACTCTATTGACTATTAGGACGAGTCACTTGAGGATAGAAACATAGGTGAAACTCCTAACAGGCTATATGGATTCAAATTTTAATGATCGATTTGCTTGATTTCTGTTGAAATGAAATAACGCTTGCAACCGCGTGCCTCAGGCATCTTCGACCTGAATATGATTTGAACCATTAAATAGAGGCCCAAAGATCGAAGAACTTATCAAGAACTCGGTTATCGTTCCCTCCGAAGTCAAATAACCCTCTCCCATCGCAATTTGAGACAATAAGGAAGTGGCAGTCTCATCGCATCTCGAAATTTTTTTCCACTTTTCTATTTTCTCGAAAAAGAGTGAGAGAGAGAGAGAGAAAACGGCGACGAACGACGACGACGCGTTGGCAAACAATTCTCGATAGCAGTTGAGAAATGAATCGACTAAACTAAACTGACTGGCAGATTGTTTAAATCGCTGTTCAGACGTTATTACTATACGTCGGCTTTGACTTGTGCTCGCCTGTACTTACTTAAAAAACTAGGTGAAGAAAAATGAAGATTATACCTCTTAATGGTACATAAAAGAATAGTTCATTACAAAAAAAGGGAAAAAAAACTAAGTATGTTCGACAAATGTTCGTTTCGTTTTGGTTCCTCTAAGGTAGGTCTCTAATTTGTTTGGCTATTTGATGTGGCATCGTTGGACTCCTTGGAAGTGGAACCGGATGCAGCTCGATCCCTAATACCGTTAGATCTGACCTAATGGCATATCTCTGGATTTAAGTCTTTCGGATAAATATTCTACGGGCCAGATATTATATATTAGTGATGGTTTTTGGTTTCTTCTAGGCTCTTTTATATTAGTCGATTTGCTACTAGGTGAGCCTAATGTTAAAAACAAAAAAAGCAATATGAAATATGGCTTGTTAATATCACAAAAAAAACGGCATGATTTAAAGAATATTATAGACTGTCAGGAGTCGTCACCATGTTTGGCAACAGTTACCAAAAAAAGCGCTTATCAAAGATCAACGAATAGGTGAAATAGATGAATTGATAACTTTGTTAAAAAACAGATCAACTTACTTCATTCGCTACTTGTTTTTATAAATTTTTATCAATTTATTCATTAATGGTTTTTAATTCTTTTTATAAAATTCTTTTTTTTATAAAAATTATATATAATACAATAACCAAAAATGTGGTAAACCGAATATTTTTTAATATATTTTTTTCTTATAATTATTTTAATAATTGATGGAAAATTCTCACATTTTTGTTGTATTTTTTATTTCAATTTAATTCTAAATCTTAGATTTCTGTAAAGTTCATAAATTTATCGAAATGATACATCTTGTTTGGTGTTTATTCGTTCGTTTCTCTCGGCTTATTTAATGAATGATTTTGGGTTCGAGGTTCGATGTTGGTTCGTTCGTTCATTCTCTCTCTCGGTTAAATAAATGATTTCTCGATGACCTAATTTTTTTTCTCTTGTGATGACCCACGTTGAGCGCAATATTATCAGTCTTATCAAAATTCCACATCTTTTATCACATCTATGCATCTTGGAAATTTATTTTCGAAATTTGTTTTTCATTGAATGTTTTTTGGATAGAATTTTTTTTTAAAAAAGAATTACTTTGATAAGATCTTGAGAAAAAATTAGGCCAAGGTAATTTGTATAGCGCTCGCAATAATATATGACTTACCATTTCATTTATTTATTAATTTATTGACCTTTTGACCTTATACCGTCCGTTATCGACACGAATTATATATATTACAAAAACCATTCCCTGTGGGTGTCCTCGACTTAGAGAATTGGAAAATTGAGAGATGGTTATGCCATATATATTTATATAACTATAATCGCTAACAAAGAATTACGTAATACTTTTTCCAAAACAACAAAACAGCCGATGCGACCATCATAATGAATCGTCGTCGTTGTTGTTATCGTTGATTGTCGTCGGTCAGTTGCTTCATTGTTCATCGACGATTGACTAACGAAAAACATCGATCAGTAAATTATACCATTTTTATTTTATATAATTTTAAATTATTTTTATTATATATTTATATGTTAATTTCTTATTAATGTTACATTATCATTTTTTCTTTTTGAAACTCTTTTAGACAAATTAATTCTTTATTATCCTTAATTTAAATTTTGATTGAAATTTAAGCGTAAATCTTGTAATAATAATTATTAACAATAATAAAGTATCACACTGCAAAATAAAAATAATATATAAAATAATAAAAAACAAAATAAAAATAATCTACAATAAATATGAATTATGACCAATGCATATGGTTATATTATATTATTTTTATATTATTTTTGCTATTCCTTTATCCATTCCAGATAATCGAAATAAGAATGAAAAGAAGCCACCAGGTTACCAGTAAGTTACCCACCGAAACAAGGATAATAATAACAACAATAAAAATAATAATAATGCACCGAAGTCATAATCACATTAAAAAACATCTATCTATCTTCTGCTTGATTTTGCTTTTAAAAAAGGCAAATTCACCAACGAATTTCCTCCAGCAAACTAGAAAAATTTCCATTTCAAAACTAAACAAAAGTGATTCGCAAAATAAAAAAACTAATGAAACTAAAAAAATGCTAATTTCTAGAAGCTTTGCCAATGTACGAACATATCTTTCCCCAACAGATATGAAAATATTTCAAGAAAATATAGAGGATCTTATCTGCCCAAGAGCTTATAGATAAGCAATGCCTCTGAACTACTTACAAAATTTCTCGTTTTTTGACTCACAAAGATAAATATCACAGACGACAAATATTTGGCAAGGAGCTGGGGAAAAAAAAGTGGAAAATACTTCAAAAAAAGAACCAAAGCATATAGTGTTTGGTTAAAAGTTTGCTGCACCGTTACATTAACGTCCACTGGGACATCGAAATTCACCGTAGGAATGTTTTCAAATTTGGCATTCTTGACGAACGATGGCGTTTTGCAGCAAATATTTTCGTTTTCGCCTTTAAATCGTTCTTTTTTATCGGATGACGTAAATTTTTTCGTACTTCCATGAAAGCTGCAAAATTAAAAAATTTTAGTCCTTTTTTCCAAAGGGGAAAAAACTCGAGTGTTCAATGATCATTGATTATAATCTTATCAGTAAAGTTAATGATGATGTACCAGTGATTTTCATTTGCTTTTTAGGATTTGTACGTATTGTGGGTTTTATGGCATTTATTTGATGTTCATTACTTATCGAACAATCGGAATCATCCGAATGTGGTGCAAGATTTTCCGTATCTGATGAAAATCCACTATCAGCCGAATGATAATATGGACGATAAAACATTGGCACCTAAAAATCAACAACATAAATCTCAGTAATAAGACTGTGAAAAGAAGTGACTTTAATCAATTCCAGGTACAGCACTGGATCAAATGCTTGGAAACGTAATGTCTCCCTCCAGTAGTGAGCGAGGCTAGACAAACCAATTTAACAATCCATTCGATGAAAAATTACATGTGTCGTTTAAAACAAAAAAGTTTCAAGGAGAACGAACCGATTCAGCTGGTACAGCGGTAACAATATAATCGGATTCACCAGAACCGCATGGCATACATTCATCAAACTGAAAATTTAATGACCAACGAAGTTGTTTATTTATACCGATCTCATCGAGTTTTTCGGTAAGCCATTTATCAAGCTTTAATGGATCTGGTCGAGCAAATAAACATCGCTTTGCTGGTGACGATGACTTTATTTTGCTACTGCTTGAAGTTATTTCTACTGGTACCATCGTCGTCACATAAGCATTCATTATTTTTTGTTTAGAAACAAATATACCTAAAATAAAACCGAATTAGTAAAATAAATTCGATAAATAATTTACATCAAAACGATTTGATGTATTTTAACACTAGATAAATCGTATTTTTACAATATTTGTATCCAAAAATAAACTGTAAAAATGAGAGAACTTTAAGATACAACACGCTAACAAAAAAAACTAAAATATAGTTAAAAATAAATGATAATAAGCTTTTAATAAATAATACTTATACACGCATAAAAAAGAGAGGTCAAGGCGAGGTTAAAATATAGTTATAGTATGGCATCTAAAAATAAAAAGGATCAGTGTAGAAGGATAATAAATTCACCTTATACCGATAATAAATGACAACACTTGAAAATTGGGTGTCAGAGGTCAGCAACAAAAGAGAATAGTAATACATCAAATGATCGAGAAGAGCTAAAGGTCAATGCAAGGTCATTTATCATCATATACATCACAAATCGTTCAAATTAACTAAATGGTGATAGTTAATAATGGTATGGAGTAGAAACAAAATAGTGGTTAATTATATAATGTCAAAGGTCAGATCGAATTGCAAAAACCGTTAAACAAATGCTTTATTCGCAATTCACAACGATAAACAACGTAAATATTTGCTTCATTTATATAAACATCATCGGTAACAATCCCTAAAATTAGGCCCAAATCAAACCTTGGATTAGCCTCAGTTCAATTACGATCACTCGGCCTCTGACCTCAATTTCAACATTAAATAAAAAGAACCGTATATATTATAACTCTATAGTTTAGTTTTATATTAAAATAAGTGGAAATTATTTGGTCTGATAACAATATTTGACAGTTAACTGTTTTCATTTTTATTTCTTCTCCTTAATCCAATAGAAAATTGTGAACTGTGACATAACAGTAAATTCCGGATCAATTTTAAATCGAATGTGGATAAGCAAGAATTCATTTACTGGAAATTTGAACTTTTGACCCCTTCAATAGGCTTTGAACCTAATGATTAGGTTTTTTTCGCAGCCTTTGACCTTCGTGATTAAACGAAAAATAAGAAATGAAACGTGTAAATAGAAGAGAAAAATCGAAAATATGAAGCAGCCCATCAATTTTTTTTTACGCTATTCGATGATATTTTTTCCTAGACGACACAGCGACAACAAAATAAAATAAACAACAAAATAAATGAAACAAGCGTAAAAACAAGTAAATAGGTAAGTAACCAAGTAAGTAAAACTCTAGAAAAATTCGTAAATGAAAAAGAAAAATAAGCGAGAAAAAAAGCATCTAATCGTATTAGTAAGCAACAAGAAAAAACAAACAACAAATGGACAATTGCTCACATGGCAAAATGACAAATTGACAATTGCTCACGTAAAATGGACTGGATGGAATGTGATGGGACGAGCTGAAGAGGTGATGAAAGGATAGACCGGCGTGATGCACAGACGGAACGAATCCTGCATCGAAACCCGAAATTGATGTGACCAACCGGCCGCGATAAAGTGGTCGACCACATTATTTGCCTGCCTTTCTCGACGCGTCGACTCCTTTCAACCATCGACTATTCATAGACTCCACCCATCTACAAACTCCGCCCAGCTTGGTCCACCTCTTCCGAACAAGTTTTTGGCTTATGGCCAAACCTATAGGTTTTTGGCGCGAAAATTAGAAAATCTATTTTTATATATTTTTTGTATGCTTTTTTCATAATGTTTAAATTTTACCAGAAAATTGCCGCGGGAGAAATTATTGTGGGAGACTTTTCGAAATCGATTTTACCTTTTAAAGCCTGCTTCCCTTCATGTTGGTACCACGGAGGTTACAGGCTACTCGTCAATTAATTGGTTTCTTTAGTAAAGGTTTCTTTTAAAAAATTTTCATTTGGGCACTTTGAAATTTTTTCCATTAAAAAAACGCAACGAAGGATTTACGTCACAAATTTATGAATCATTTATCGAAGTGAATCAATGAGAAAATCGAAAATACATAAAACCGTAAACAAAAATCAAAAAATTTTCACAAGATGACAATAATAACAAGAAACGCGTATTTCGAGTATTCCCGAATAAAAATCGCGTAAAAACGTGTTCCCCAGTGGGGATCGCGTAAAAACGAGTCACCAACATTTGTGAATCTTATACTAATTATATTGAAACCGAATTTATTATTTTTTATAAAAGTTGTACTCGAAGTGCACGTTTAGATGATGAAATTTACGTGATATTCATGAATTTTTACATTTATTTATAATTTCTACACTTGTTTTTATTTATTTATAAAAAAACACTAAACACTGTTATTGTTTATACGAGTTTAACCTTTGACCTCTCCAATTTATCATATTAAAATACGTATTTAAAATGATATAGCAGGTTCTATTTTTTTGATAAAATATTTCATCATAACGATGAAAGTTTTTTTGCTTTTTAAAAAAATTTCTATTGAATTTTCTAATTTTTTAAATTTTATTTTAATTTAAAAAAGGAAATTTTATTAGTTTTTATCAAAAGCAATCCCTTTATAAAAAATAAAAATATGAAAAACTTGGAGGAAAAAGGACGGCGACATGCAATATAGGACGACGAAAACTGTGATAGGCAGCGTGGAGCCGAGCACATTGTGCATTGCGGTGCATTACAGTGCATTAGGGTGTCTGGCGAACCATACAAATATTTATTTATTCTTTTCTTGCTTTGCTGTTTTACTGTTGGAAACAATATTTATTGCCATTGATCGTAACGAAATTCTAAGGAAAATAACACAAATACAATTCGCAGCACTGATTCTTTAATAAGAGATTAGAAATCCGGATGAATTCTAACACCTTCAAAGGCTGCGTATAAGCCAAGAATAAATGGAACTCGTGGATATGTTTAGGTCAAGGCTGTAAAGCCAAGGATATATGTAAGCTACTGATAATTAGAAAAATGTGCTTTAGATCTTTTTCTTGAAATGTTCTAACCCCTAAAACGATAAAAAATTTAAAAGAACTTTAGATTTTCGAATCAAAAAGATTGCTATTATCCATTTCAAAAATTAATTATTAATAAATATCGATGTTTTTAAATTATAAAATATTGTTTATTTAACTGAATAACGGAAATTAATTCCAGGTTTATCGTTGAATCTTTTAAAAGGTATGAAAATGTTTCACCTTTGGATAGGACCATTGAAACCAGAAATGGTGAAAATATGAAATAGCTGAGGTGTAATTTTTATCGCAGACCATTCTTATTTATTTAATAATCATCGTAATATAATACATAATAATTCATAAATTGCAGGTGGTAAATTTTTTTATTAAAAGAGTGTTAACGTGGTTGATTAATCGAAAATTTTCTCTCTTTATTATTATTACAAGAAAATATCTATTATCAGTGTTGCGTACGATTATCAGCGTTATTATCAATATTCAATTGCCAGTCGATGAACTAGCACAACAAAACTTCGACAAATTACGAGTTGACGAATTAATTTGTCTGAATTTTATTATTTGATTTTTTTTGTAAGATTTTTTGTTTTGTCTACCTAATTTTTTTGCAATTTTTTCTTTTCTTTCTTTTTTTCCTCCACAGTTAATTTTTTCTCACGGGAAATCATCCTATTTTGCAAATTTTTTTTGCAAATAATCGAACTGTATCATCTCACGCTTAATAAATATAGAAAGTAAAAAAAAAATAACTGAAATGTCGCCATGTCAATTTCATCCTGAAAGATAGAAGCAAAAAAAAGAAAGAAAAACCACTGAACAAGGTCGATAAAAAGAAAAAATAAAGAAAAAGTTAATAACTATTTTTATTTTTCTCAAGAACCTTCAAATTTTTAAACTTTAATTAAAAATTATTTAAAATGAAATTTTAAACTTTTTTAGAATAATGATACTTAAGTAATTTGCAAAAAAAGCAGTTTTTTAAAATTTTTTCTGAATTTTCATTTTGTTTTCTAATTTTTTTAAAATTTTTATTTATTTTTCTATATTTGAGACTTATAAAAAGAAAATTGTAGAATAGAAAGGAGCCAAAGGTACTTTAAAGTAGTAGTAGTAGCTTTAAGTACCTTTACTAGCCTATTTTCAGATACTGCATTGGATTCAAACGGCGTGCTTGTTAGCTAATGGAATCAACCAAACCAGAAATGTTGTAATGAGTTGTTAGTTAATCAGTTAGAAGAAGAAGACGAACGAAATACGTTGGCAATTATTTTTATTTTTTTAGTGAAAAAAATGAAGAAATTTTCTCAACAATTTTTCTTAGTTTTTTGATAAAAATAAAATTTTTCAAGTGTAAAAAAACTTTTAAGAAAAAATTGAAAAATAGAATAGATTTTAGAAGAATAAAAAATTTAAAAATTTTTTACACAAAATATCATTGTAAATATTCTTTAAATGAATGATTATAGAATCAAATCGAGATCAGCTGTTAATTTTCCAGTTTTCTTATTTATATTCACCTTCATTCACCCTGTTTTTGCTTAAATTTTTAATTAGGGTTTTATGATTGAATGAATGAGATTGTGCTCTCATATGGTGCCATATGAACCTAATATCCTGACAATTAATCCCATTGAATACACTATATACTATGGATTTCACAGTTCATTCATCTCAATAGCGATTTAATAAATTGGCGACGCGATCTTTTTATCGCCAGAAAACTCGGACATTTTGTTTTGTTATTCTATCTGATTGCTAGTATTCGTTGGATATTGAATGGATAATCTCGTTCGTGGTACCTCCATATGAAGAGAGGTGAAGAAGAGGATTTTTAATTTATTTTTTTCACTTATTCTAAAATTTTTTTAAAAAGGTAGAGGAAAATAAATATGGAAATTCTAGTTTTTTTCAAAAAACAGATGCAAAATTTTTGGATTTTTTTATTAAAAATTTCGACGAATAAAATGAATTATGTTAATTTAAAATTCGGAAATTGTTTTTTATTTTTTCTTGGAAAAAAAGTGCGATTTTTTGATGTTCATTTGAATATATTTATTTATTAATTTCTGACTAGGCTTGCACAGCTGTCTTATAGAATCAAAAAATGAGGTCGAGGAAGTCACTTGGCGATATAGTAAGTGTGAGTGGCCGGCATTATCAGAATATGTAGGTATATGAATATGTAGCTTATTTATACTATTATTCAGCGGCGAAGATAGATTATATAATTTTTCGTTTTTTTTAATTCATAGGGCGGATTATAAGTTCCCTCAAACAATTACGAGGTTATTACTAGTTTTTCACTTAAAAATTTGGAGTTAATAGTATTTAATTGACAGACAAGTCATACGCAAGAAATAATTGGAAATCGATTTTCAGCGTTGAAAATTATAGGAAAAGATGTCGTTTCCATGCTGAAAAATAAGGAAAAAGCAAAGCATCATGGAGATATTGATTCAGACGTTGTCGCTGTATTTCTAAATATTACCAAATTTCGGTGATTTATTCGATATATTTGTCTGGGATAGAAAAGCTTCTTTGGCAAATAGAAACTTTGTTTTATTCCTCTAAACAGCATTTCTGATTTGGTTAATTGCACCGGCCAATAGAGCGAAGGGACTTTTTATAAGTAAAGGTGAAGTTGAGCACCAATTTAGCACTCGGATCCTAATAACCAGTAACAATATTTGAATGTGGCGATCGAATCTTTGCCACTTGTTTGCAAAAGTGATGTCGTATCAATTTGTCCAATTATCCTGTCCCAAGGTCAGGTCCAAATCTAGAAATGAAGTTTTTTTACAGCAAGCATTGAGAGCAATATCTACTCGAGTTTTGGTATTATTCTATCAGGCCAGGCGTCGTGTATCCTACTGTAGATAATAATGCTGAGTGGTACTTCTATCTTCAAATGACTCTTACAGCCTAACGTAATAATGAATGTGAATACTGAAGGAATAAAAGAAACGTCAAACGAATCAAATTGGTACAAATCACTACAAATTATTGTTCTGTTTTTGTGATTCTTTGTTTATCGCTTTGACGTTTTTATAAACAATAAAAATGAGGAAAATAACAAAAAAATTAGTAAAAAACAGGGAAACTAATAACAATGATAAGGGAAGGAAAAACGATGAATAAAGATTATTTGATTATTTAAGAAAAAATTTTTTTGCACTAATTTTGGAGGGAAAAAATTTTTCCCCTTTCTTTTTTAGGTATTTTATTTCACTTTGTTTTCCTTTTAAATAACATTTTTCATTTTTTGAAAAACTGAAAAAAAAGTACATTCCCATTGATATTTATTTATTTGATTTTCGATTACTCAATTTTTTGAATGAACAAAAAATTTTTAAATTTGCTTTTTTTCGCTCATTATTTTTCTAGTTTTGCTAATTTTATTTCGGAAAAAAAGTGCGGTGACGAAATTCATTTCGTTTGAGAATCACTTATTGGTAAGTGGTACTAACCTGTTCCTTAGATTTCCACTTTTGATGGCGTTGATCACGGGTTTCTCCAAGGTTTTAGTGACGTACAGGTAGATCTCGAGTTTTTCCATTTTTGAGGACATACAAGCACGGAGATCTGCATTCTGATATTTATTTAATGAGATACGTAATTTTAATTTC